CTGTGCCAGACAAACGAATTGAACGGAACAATTCTACTTAGACCTTTAGGGAAATCATTGCCCTTTGCTGGGCCTCAGTTTCCTTTACCTAGAAAATCTCTACAAAAGAAGGGGGTCAAGTTCAGTCATTTAAAAACCTTGCTTTTTGTTAGTGGAAGCCTTTATTATTATTATTTTTTAATTTATTTATTTTGAGAGAGACGGCGTGAGTGGGGGAGGGGAGGGGCAGAGAGAGAGGGAGAGAGAGAATCCCAGGCAGGCTCCGTGCTGTCAGCACAGAGCCCGATGTGGGGCTCCAACTCATGAAGCCGTGAGATCATGACCTGAGCTGAAGTCGAGAGTTGGACACTTAACTGACTGAGCCACCCAGACATCTCTGTTGTTAGTAGAAGCCCGTCTTTAAAGTAAACCTTACCAGAAGTCCTATACGTATGAGATTTTCCAAACGTGCTCTTTGGGGTGGGGGAGCTGTGGCTGGGCACACACCGTGGGTTCTCGGCTTCTCCCCGGTCCCTTGGGCAACACTGCTTCTGCTCTTGGGAGAGCCTCAAAACCACTGGGCTAGGACGCGTGGCTGGCTTTGAGAGGTCTTATAAAATACAGTACCGATTTGGTGTTCCGTACTACCAAGATCTTTCAGGAACAGTTAGCATCTATTCCTGTATTTGAAATGGGAAGACGTTAGCTGAATACCGACATAGCTGAGAAGCAAGTTGACATTGTTGAATATCTTCTCTTACAGCAAGAATAATAACAACGATAATGACCACCGGCGATCTTACGAGTAAGCGAAATCTTTTTTCTTCCCATTTTTTTGGACCGCGTGCCCTTGGTGGCTCCTTCCAAGTTGTCTTAGGGTTTCACGGATCAGCTTGCTCCACGTACAGTTAGAGGCCACAGTGTATTCCCGGGCGTCAGCCCCCGCTTACAGGGCTGAGCACCTACTTCGTGTTAGCGCCAGGGATACGGCCTGCAGCACGAGGTCGTAGACTGCCGTCTTCGTGACGCTTCCACGCCAGCAGTGGGTGGAGACGGACAGTGCGGTCAGCGCACAATTAGCTACTCAAGAATACTGGGAAATGTGTTCTGGAAAAGCAGGCCAGGAGGAGCACCGGGGAGGTGAATTTAAAGAGACAGATGGGGGGACGGGGGAAGAGATGATGACAAGCCCGTGAGCGGGGGACACGTGGCTTAGCCATGGAGAGTGAACAGGAGGGCTGGGGGTGAGTGAGGACGGACTCTACTGAGGTGACAATCATTTGACCCCCACATCCTTGTTTTTTTTTTTTTTTAAGGGGGACACTGTGATGGAGGAGAAGATATGTGGGTTGATGTAAAAAGAACTTAGTAATTCCCTAGGCTGTTTTCCACCCCCCAGCCAAGCGTATACATTTTTGGAAAAGAATGAAAACAAATGGTGTCACCCATTCTATGAAGACTAGAGACATGTCCCTGGTACACATACCGGTTAATTGTTCCTTGAGAAATATGGCTACAGGAGAGTGAGGCACCCCTGTCCCTTTGCAGAGACTGTATTTTGGGCTGCAACACCTTCTGTCAGCAGTGAGCAAAACACTAAAAGTACTGTGGTCAAACCATAAACTTGGGTCAAGTGGGGAAAGATAGGTCTGAGTCTTCTCCACAGGACTTGAAGAATCCTGTGTATGGGAAGAAGAATCCAGCCGTAAGGAAACAACAAAACGAAACTATGTATTACAATTTTGGAAGATTGGGAATGTTCTAGCTATGGTTTGCTTTGTAGTTAAAGTGACAGCTGTTCCTGAAAGCGATCAGTGTATCTGGGGACAGTCTTAGGAACAGCTTAGCTGGTATCTTACAAATGTTTCACAACCACAAAGATACATTAACTCTCCTCAGGGGAGTGTTCGTCGAGTCACTTAGGGTAAAGTGCTCTCCCCCCAGAAATATTTGGAAGCAGGTTTGTTGAAAAGTTCCCACGAGGCGGTGTTGTGAATCTTACGTGGTAGACGGGGGTAGGGGCGGGCAGTTATTTAGGCTTTTAGGCTTCTACTTAGAGCGGTAGAGCAGGAGTGATTTTGCATTAGAACGTGAAAACAGTGCTCTTTAACATACTTTTTCTTTTTGATCGATTTCAGTTCTTACACGTTTCGTGATCATGCTTGCTTTAAACGTGTGGGTAACCACCACGGTCCTTCGCTACAGGAAGACGGCGGTAAAGGCTGAGTAACAGATGCGCTGCCCCTCCACACGAAGTGGATTCCTAGTAACTGAAGCAAAGCTCACTGCTGAACCAAGGTCTCTTATAAGTTTAGTCAATGGCTTTAGAAACGCTGAATTGAAGCCAGATGTATTTTGGACAGGAGCCACTTAAACACTTGTTGAGAAATGTTGATTTCCTTCCCACTCCTCCCCTTCGTGAGGCGGAGGCAGGTCTCGGACACCTGCATGTCGAGCAGTCAAGACCATGCTTTTCAGCTTTCAGAATCTTCTAAGAAATAAATCCTCTCTAGAGCACAAATGATTATGAACGGAGTGGGATTTTACCCAGTCAGAAGTGAAATTGTAGTAAATTACCAGGGTCACTTTCTGGGGCGGTTTTTTTAATATAGATGTAACAGGATGGCCTTGCTGTATCATAATACACGATAATGCCTCCTTAGGCTATAGTAAGGATATCGAGGCAAGCAAAAACGTTAATTGGCTCGAGTTTATATACCCAAGTAGTGCTGTAATTTCATATAGTGCCTTTAGTTCCTAAGGAAAGGTCGATTGGCTGCAGTCTCTACAGCAGGATGAGGCAGTCCCGATGAACTTTCTGATTCAAGCACAATGCTGCCATCTTTAAGAGTCACACCTTTGAAAAACAAAAATGTCCACTGAAAATAGATGCAGTAAAAGGTATTGCTGGGGTGCTGTCAACTTCTTACGGATTTTATTCTTGTTATATTCTAAACGTGATGTTAGGATTACTGGATACTGCATTTTACCGTAAAAGTTTATAAACGCTAGAATTTAAAAGCTCTTTCCCTTTATAATTGAATGGCATTGTTATACGTAATAAGTAAATGATGTTTATTAGAAAATGTTTTAGTGTCCTATGTAAGATAAATAAATCATTCTGTAGTTTTTAAAATCCTAGTTGTCATTTTTTTATTTATGTAAGCTCTACACTCAACGTGGAGCCTGAACTCACAACCCCAAGATCGAGTCACATGCTTATATTAACTGAGCCAGCCAGGCGTTCCTCACAGTTGTCAATTTAAAAAAAGTCCAAGTGAACCTTTTCTCATATGCAATTATAATCTAACCATTAGGAATAAATACAAATTAGGTGATTTGAGTCCATTTTATTTAAATATACTTATTAGAAATTTATCATTGCTTAAAGCTTCTCCTTTAAGAAAATACTATCTTAGGGGCACCTGGGTGGCCCCGTCAGTTGAGCGTCTCTTGATTTTGGCTCAGGTCCCCATCTCATGGTTCATCTCATGAGCTCAAGCCCCGCGTCGGGTTGCGTGCTGACAGGATCCTGCCTGGGATTCTCTCTGCCTTCCCACCCGCCCACTCCACACTCTCTCTCTATGCCTGTCTCTCTTAAGTAAACTTAAAAAATAAAAAGAATACACACTCTTAGGTGAAGAGTTCCCCATTTTTTTCCCCCTTTGGCAGAAAAGGGAACAAACATTTGAACTATTCCAGATATCCTACGCACATTATCATATTTAATCCTACAACAATCCTGTAAGTAAAAGTCTCCGTTTTACAAAAGATGTAAACACTGAAGCTGAATAACCTGTCCCGGATCCGGCATAAGTATCCTAGATAAGAACCCACTGGTTACAGGGGCGCCTGGGTGGCTCAGGCGGTTGAGCATCCGACTTCGGCTCAGGTCATGATTTCGCGGTTCATGGGTTCAAGCTGTGTCAGGCTCTGTGCTGACAGCTCAGAGCCTGGAGCCTCTTTCGGATTCTGTGTCTCCCTCTCTCTCTCTGCCCCTCCCCCGCTCATTCTGTCAAAAATAAAACAACAGAAAAAAGAACCTACTGATTACCAAAGAAATAACTTTCTTGAAAACTACCTCTCAGCAAAACAGGCACTCTGCATCTTTTCCTTATCCTGGACACTGAAATGAGATCGTTCGATTTGCAAGTCCCTCAAAATACCTAAATCAGGCCAGCAACAGACTCCTTATTGAAATTCTATTTTTATTTCTCCACGGACTAAAAGACACGGCTGAGCATTCACAGGTCTGTGACCTTAGTTATGATTTGTTTTGCTACACACCCATCTTTTTATATGTATCTTTCAGGGAAGGCAAACATTCTGGGTAAGCATCAGAAGGCTGCAGCATTCTGGGACTATTTCACAGGAAGAGTATGAAAATGCTCAGGTCTTAATTTCTTTTATTTAATTTTTTTTAATATAAAAAGCAGGCATAAAATACAATTACATTACTACAAAGATGCAACAAAAATTTTTTTAAAAAGATCGGGGGGTACGATTTTTGTTCAGAGGGGACAGCTGATCAAATATTTACGATTATCTAAACCATGCAATTCATAACTTAATACAATTCCAAACAAAACTCATTACTATGGGGAAGGGAATCAGGGACAGGCCCCCCAAGCATAATATTCAGCACTGTCACACAGCGCCTATTTTCAAAGTGCTTTGTGAATCAACTATGGTGTCTTCACGCCAGAGGGAAACTGGAGCCTTCTTCCAGGGGAGGAGACGTGATTCAGTAGCAGTGTCGACACAGACCGAGAAACTCAGAAGTGACTTCCTCTCACAGAATACTCAACATGTTATTTAAAGCATGTTTCAAGAAAGTAATACAGCGTCTAAGTTTCTCTACTTTACCACCAGAATCCTGTGGGAACAGATTAACAACAGCAGCAAAATTTCTTCAACTGTGGTTTGGCAAACCTAGAGTATTTCTCTTTGAAGGTCTACAGATGAACCGACACAAAAGACATCGTTCAGGGCCAGATCTGTGACTCCAGCACAGGTCAATTTTAAAACACTCACCTTATTTTAGATTTCTCGGTATCCTTTAGATAGCTGAAGGCATTTACAAATTTCAGATTTTTTAAAACCCTTGCTTCTAGGTGGCACGTTTTAATACTTTCCAAAACCTCACTACACATTAATTTTCACCAGTAACACCGGCACCACTTTTCCTTCTGCTTCGGTCTCGCTATCCCCACTAAAGAAAAGTACAAAATCCAGCTAAGAAAATCCCAGTATTCACTGCTTCTTAGCTCTCAATAGGAGGTATTTATGGCTCTAGGAGAAATCAGGTGTGAAGAAATAAGCAACTTCCGGTCTTGCACTTATCTGGGAAGCTCTGGAGCCTCAAGAAAAAGAGAAGCTGGCACAAAATCAGGTTGTTAAACCGAGTCAGTGTTGTATTTAATGAGTGCTGGGAAGAGGACACTTGGATAGGGGTGTGCATTCATGCACGTACGTGAAATGAGCAAAAGGGTAAAAAGCAAACTCTTACCCAAGGTCAGAATTTTTATTAAGCGCATTTCCACTAGCTGGAGAAACGACCTAAAAACCCTTATGTTAAACCATATAATGTGAAGAATCTCCATGGGAGAGATTTTTTCCCACCCCTTAGAATACTTTCTTTTCCCCAAAAAACTTCACATTAATTTTCCTTGTATAGTTGCAGCACACCATGATTCTCCATATTCTCTAATATATACAGCATTCAAAATTTAAACTTTTGCCATTTTTACTCAAATATTTCAATTACTCATGTGTAAACTTCAAATTATTTCACCTTAATAAAGTTTATTAAAAATATATATATATATATACTCTCCAATTCAGAATAATATGATAGAACCTCCCATAGTGTAACAAAATCTTTATATAAAATATTAATTCAGTCTCCTTTTAACAAGTCTAATGAATGGAAATATTTATTCTATATAAATTTTATATAGTTCTCATTTTTAAATCTTAAAAACAAAAAAACAAAAACAAAAACAAAAACAAAACCCCAAAAAAAACAAAAGCTGTGTCCCCAAGCCAGAACCGCAGAACATCCCGGGGAGGGAAATGGCATGCGTGTCCGGACTCAGCACAGACAGCGTGAGAGAGCGTAGGCGGGACAATGTGAGAATGACAAGATTCAGGTTTAGTCCATCAGGCCAGAGGCCACGGTTCAATTTCCACAACAGTGTCTATATTTTGGGGGTCTAACTCTTTAACCATTTCTACACTGACCCCAAGGGGAGTCAATGAAAAAGGTCTATTTCCTTCATTGAAATATTAGATGATGTATTTCAGTATCACACCAACTCCGTATGTATATAAAGAGACTAATAAAAGACTACATACTTTTTTCAAACTTGATAACTTAGCATTGATGCATACTGTAGCAGTAAAAAACACATTTTTCTGGGATAATGAGAAATATGGCAGAAGTGGTCCTGCATAACCTACAACTTTAACATCATTTAAAAAATAAAAATCAAGTTAAGAGCCTTTGAGGCCACTTCTTCCTAGTCACCAGTTTTCTTAACCCAATACTGAAATATTGCCATACTCAGTTGTGTGTTTGAGGGATCACATTTAAATATTTAAAATATATCTACAGTATGTCTTAGTTTTCTTTATATTTGAGATAATCTTAGAATCTTGAGTGTGAAAATGTAGAAACAGTCACAAATGTCTCTGCCAGAAATAAAAACACATCTAGGGTAGCCAGCAAATTCAAAGCGAAGCAAACATTTCCTACTCATACACTAATACTGAGGTCTGTAAGCAGAGTGGGATGAATAATAAACATAAAAGATATATTAGTTCCAATATTATCCATTATTGTTTCTATCACGGGTACTTAAAAAAAATTCTGTTATACAATCAAGATAGTCTGACACTGGTAACTATTACATGTAAAAATAGTGCACTATTTTTCTTTTGCAAAGCGAATTTGCATCCTAAGAGCTGGTAAACACTTTTTGTTCAAAATACAGAAAAAGGTGAGACATTAAAAAAAATTAAATTAAGGCATTCAAAATGGGTAAAGTTGCCTATCATGAAGCATTAGGAAACTGATAGAATTAACTTCAAACTTCTTGTTACAGTAACTGCTTAAACATGATCATGCAGCTTCCATGGGGTATACACAAATGAGGGATACAAACTTCAACGTTATGGCTTTATACAAGTGCATAGTTGCAACTGCAGTTTGTTATGATATCTGATTACTGTATGTAAAAAAATAAATGGGACATTTGAAGAACCCTCTTGCAGTAATACAGTACTATGTATATGTGTGTGTGTGTGTGGGGGTGTGTGGGGGTATGTATGTATATATACATATATGTACATATATATACATACACACCCCCACACACCCCCACACACACATAGTATAATGGTCACTTCTTAAAGATGCAGTCTCCATCACTGTAGTGGAACCCATTCCCAGACTCTTCTGGTGAATGTGCTGGTGAAATCTCTCTGTTGAAGCTGAAAAGATGATTTCTTTAACTCTTCTCAAGCCTTTTGTGCAATGTAGTGTGAGTGACTGCCAAGAGAGCTTCATGGAACAACTTTGGAAGAGTTGCATGATATTCTTACTCTATTAACCAATCACTGTTGGTTCAACATGTTGCTCCAAAGGAGAGCAGAAAATCTCCAAGATTTATAATTTATATTGCAGGAATAAAGGGAAATATGTGTGTGTGTGTGTGTGTGTGTGTGTGTGTGTGTGTGTGTGTGTGTGTATGTGTGTGTATCAGTCTCTCAGGAAAATATAGCTTTTTAAGAAATTTTGGGCCATCATATTTCAGTCTTGTTTTAACTGGAAGAATATGACCACCTTGAATAACAACTGCATTCACAGAAGGCAGCTAGCTGGAAAAAAAGAAAAAACAAAGTTAGTTGATACAGTAAAATACTTTAAGAGACTGTTAAATTCTTTGAAAAGGCATTCCATTTATATCATTAAACTATGTAGTCTTCCAACCCCTATGCTTTTAACACCTAAATCATACATAAAACATATTTACTATATTACTTTTCTGATTTTTAGGTACATGCAATTATATTCTTATATTTTCCTACAAACACAACACACAAGTTTTAATACGGTTAACTGGCTATTAGGGTTAGATAATACGTCACGGAGTAAGTCAGGGGAGTGTTAAGTTTGCCTTGGAGATTAAGTGTTCCCGACTCATGTAGCTGAACGAACAGTGGACTTTTGGATCAGGTTCTATTGGACTATTTGACTCTTAGTCACATTTTTTTTAAATCTATGACATGGGAACAGACACATTGTTACAGTAAATATATGTAAAAATCTCTGTAAATCTTGGTTATAAACACCTCCCAATGATACATGATTTAAGTCTATTTTTGCAATATGCTCCCTTAGGTTAAGGCAGATATTACTTCTTTTAAATCCATTCTACGTAAATGGTTTAATCATGAGGTTCAAATTTCCTTTAGCCACTGTTAACCGAAGTATTTTTTTTTTTTTTTTTTTTTTTTTTTTTTTTGTAACCGAACTATTTTATTTGTTCTACAAGCACAAGAACTTTCACAGCATATCAGTAGCATTCTTCGGCAAGAGTAACATTATCTTTTCACAAAGCAAACGTCTCACAGCATCACAAAGAAAAGCCAAATCAGAAACAGCTATCTCACAGCACTTATTAGACTTACAAAGTTTTTACAGTTTCAATTCTTGCAGGTTAGAAAGAAAGAGGAGGGAAGGAGAGAGGGAGGAGGGAAAAGGAATCCCATGCTATGTTCACAAACTAATACAGTTGTAGGAACTTGAAATCATTGTTAAATTTCACTTGTCTGAATATCTGAATATAGATTCTTTGGAATGAAAAAAAAAAAAGTACTAGAATGAGCTTCTTTTGTTATGTCTACATGTTCTATTCCTAAGATAAAAAACTAATTCAACTGTATTGAAAATATGTAGCTAAAAAAGATTCTGAACATAGCATTTCACTTTTATAACTTAACATGGAAATTTCAGTTAGAAGCTTTTCTGAAAACTACTTTTCAAATATATTATTAAAAACAAAAACTTAATAAAATTCAAAAACTAGTCAAAACCAATGAAAACCCAAGTGCAAATCACATGCACTACTTGGAAATACTAAGATAACTCATTTTTCACTTTTTGATTTACCCCATTTATTTCTTCAGAAATCAAAAACATCGTCATCATCATCACCACCATCAACATCATCAAATGACCAATCCCAGTCTTTAAATGCCAAATCAAGCAATCTGCAATAGGAGGTTTGTAAATTTACACTCTGACACTTTAGAAATAGCAGTTTAACATGCTAATTATCTAGAAATCACACTTTGTGCTCCCTTCATCAATAACAACACAGTCAAAATTAACATGGTGGCACACAGGGAACTCTTCTTTCCCTTTATATATAAATGCATATAATGTACATATATAAGGTATGCTTTCCAGAATACCAGAGAGCCAGATGATATTTGTGGATAAGATACAATCTTCTCCCCACTGGGCCCAGATGATGTAACTAACCATCCTGATGCCTACTCTGATTTGAGAACTATGAAAGCTCAACACCTGTCCACACTCCCTTCACAAAAGGACCCAGAGTACCAGCTCACATTTTTCTAGAATAGTACCACAAGTCCTAGTTTAAAGAGAGAGTAACACTAAGAATGCAACTTTCTCGATTCTAGCAGGACCCTATTTGTTCAATGGGTCACTGATAGTGATGCTCTCGGTGAACAACTATGAACAAGAGAAAAACCACAGGTATACAGTAAAACTTGGATTGCAAGTAACTTGTTCTGCAAGATGAGCAAACATTTCCAATAAATTTTAACTTAATGAGCGAGCAGTGTCTTGCAATACAAGTAGTAGGTGAGGCTGAATGTCATGTGATCACAACTGAGCCAATGGTGTTCTCCCTCTCCCTCTCTCTCTCTCTCTCACTGTGGGATTATGGGTGATCATCTCCCATGCTCTGATGCTTGGTCTCAGACCATGGTGTTTGGCAAAATCACCAATTTTTCAGAACGTTGGAAGGTGCCCACAACTGGCAGTAGTATATTTTTTGTCACTTCAAAGCATCTATGGAGGGGCACCTGGGTGGCTCAGTCAGTGAAGTGTCCAACTTCAGCTCATGATCTCACAGTTTGGGAGTTTGAGCCCCATATGGAGCTCTCTGTTCTCAGCACGGAGCCCACTTCAGATCCTATGTCTCCCTCTCTCTGCCCCTCCCCTGCTCGCTCTCTCAAAAATAAATAAAAACATTTAGAAAATTTTAAAACAAAACAAAGCACCTATGGACAGTCCTTTGCTGTTCCACACGAGAGTAAGCTTAGGAATGCTTTGCCTCATTCTAGGCCAGACTGCCTGCAGACACAGACCCTTTCCTCTGCTGCTTTACTGCCAGTTTCATGAAATACAGTATATGGCAAGAGTTTAATAATAATGTACTGTAGTCAACATCGGTGCAAGCTTACACGATGGCCCCCATGCAGAAAAAAGATTCCACTGAGCCAACAGACTGTAGTGATTCCATTAGTGACAGTGAAAGTCATCCTACACAATAACCCTCCTCCCTCGTCTCCCTCACACCAGCCACAAAGGCTTTCAAAGGTAGGTAAATACAGGTGAATCTATTTTTCTTTATATCTTGCATTTTCTTTATTATTTTGTATTATATTACAGTACTGCAATCATTTTTATATGAATATTTTTGGGTTTTGGAACAAATCATCTGAGTTTCCATTATTTCTTACAGGGAAATTCACTTTGATATACAAATGCTTCAGATTACAAGCATGTTTCTGCAACGAATTATGTTCACAAACCAAGGATTTACTGTATCAGCATCATAGCTACTTATCTTCGCTGAGTAAACTGGACTTAGAGCAGGGATATATGTGGTCTTTTGTTTCCAATCTAATCCAATCATCTAATGCAACATCCAATGTAGTGTTAACTTTTTCATTGTTGTAACTGTGATGTTCATGAATCAACTTATGCCAAGGAATTCATATGGCCCCTAAAGTCTCATCTGTGACTTCAACTTTAAAGTTAGTTTCTGAACTTTAATTTCTATGATTTACTCAAAACTATTTATAATGCATATTCACAGGTGTCATCCCAAGAGATTCTGATATAATTGGACCACAGGGGTAGTGAGGCCTAAGTATCTGCATTTTTTTTTTTTATTTTTTTTTTTTTTTTTTTCCAACGTCTATTTATTTTTGGGACAGAGAGAGACAGAGCATGACGGGAGGGCAGAGAGAGAGGGAGACACAGGTCGGAACCGGCTCAGGCCCAGAGCCATCCGCCCAGAGCCTGACGGGGCTAACTCACCTGGTCACAGGTCATGTGACCTGGCTGAAGTCGGACGCTTAACCGACTGCGCCACCCAGGCGCCCCTCTGCATTTTTAAATAACAAACCTGAAATGAATTCTGATGCAGCTAGTTGACTTTGGTAATCACTGACAGAGTATGTTGATGGATGGTTACCCTAATTTAAAAGTAAACAAACCCACTCAAATTACTCTACTTTAAAATGTGCTAACTATAGAACAATATATAAGAAAACACACAAATATAATTATTCACTTAGACACATATCACATTTTTCTAGGCTTACACAGATAGTAACTGATAGCTAAGGTACTGCTTGGGAGATCAGTGGGCCTTCCTGATCAAGCCCCAGCTTTGAAAAATCTGCATTTCATATCCTTCCAAAACCTTTGAAGTGTGTGTGAAGTGCGCACCTGTGTCCCAGTCTTCAAATTTCAAAAGTCTGGTCACTAGTCCGTTAGCACGATGTCTGGCAAGACTTCCCTTAAAGCATCACCACCCC